CCCCCTCCTGTACCCCTCCCCAGGATTCAGGCTCTTTCTCTGTTAACTGATGGTACGTACCAGGCGATCTGCAGGGTTTCTGCAGTTTCTGGTTCTGTGCGCCCCGCCTCGACCCAGGTCTCCTGATGAGAAGTCTCCGTCCTTGGTTTCCTCCACAATGTGACCTGCGAGGGCAGACCTGGACTTACGCCGATAGCTGCCCAGCCATCACCTTGCAGGGAAACCTGGCTCCGGATGTGCTGAGCGTGGGGCAAGGACGGAGGGGGCCGGCGGCCCCGGGACCCCAGGCAGCTGCAATCCATGGCGCTGCTGTGGAACAACTTCGCAAATGCCAGCTCCCTCCCTGCTCCCTGCTAATCTTTGAATTCTGACTCAGCTGGGCTAGACCTTTCTTCTTTTGGTGGGGAATTTCCATTTGTCGAAGGGATTGCCTTTCTAAATATTTTGGTTCTTAACTTTTGAGAATTTTTCTGCTTTTATTAAGGTGGTTTCCTTTCTATTCACTTAACTCTTTTGCTGGGAAAGATATAGTTGCCCCCTGTGTTGGTGGAATTTCAAGTCCACCACTGATAATAAAAAGCCACAACAGTAGCTGGGGAAAAATTATTGTGAAAAGTTCCACCTGCCCCCTTTCCCTGCCCTGTTTTTGAAAGCAGAGGGCAGGCATTTCAGTGGAAACCATGATATTGCCCTGGGTAATAAAAACATCAGGGCTTTGTCTTCGGATAGCACTGATTGCTGTCTTGGGAGTCAATGTACTGATTTTTGCCCAGCAAATTATGTCACGATTGTGAGCGAGTTAACAGGTAAGGCTGCAGAATCCTTGCTACCTTCTCCCAGCTCTGGACCGCCTCTGAGCTCAGTCAACGTACTGAGGCAGCTGGGACTCCGTTACCCTCCTCGGGTCGTTCTAAGCATCCTGGGTGAGCGTTTCTCACCGGACTGTCAGCTCCTGTGCACGTTCCACCTCATTATGCACAGCGTGTTAACATTGGTCTCAAAACGCCTCGCCTGGTTTCCTGACGCCTCTGCACGTAACGCAGCACCCGTCTGCGGGGAGGTGACCTGGACCCTGCTCCAGGAGGGGCTGTGGGTTACAAGCAGGACCACCAGTCACTTGGCAGAGCCCTTGTTCGCTTGTTCATAAGAGGTGATACCTATCTGCCTCCTAAGAGGGAGCGAGGGTCAGGTGGGGAGCCATCCGGCACATTCGGAGACTTCTCTGTCAGTGAGGGTGAGGCTTGCCAGGAAGCAGAGCTGGGCCCCCTGGGCTCCGGTAAGGGGTTCTTTCTGCTTGCTTTGCCTGGTGGCTCAGAATTTAGGCTCAGCTACAAAGGGCAAAGACCAGGACTCGGCTGCCATCTCTCTCCACTTGACTAGGGTGGGAGGCACTGGAAAGGGGCCGACACTGATCACAGTGCAGCAGCCAGGGGGATGGGGGCCCCGTGGGTGGGCGGATCCCTGCTTCCTTCATCATTTCCTTTGAACCATCTTTTCAGACAGTGAGTGATGACCCCATAAGTGGTGGTTCTGATAATTTCAGACTTCACACGTCAGTCCTCCTGGAGATGACCCCATGATAGTCCGAGGCCACACAGCTCTGAACTACAGAAGCAGGGGGCTCAGGCAGTGTATGAACAGAGGTCCTCGATGGGTGCCCCCAAGTGGGACGTCCTCACCAACTCGCCCAGGAGGCCTGCACATGCCCTGCAAATGGTCTCCCCGCTCCCACCCCTGCCAGGTGGCTAGGCAGAAGGATGGGGTACCAGGGCCTGAACGGACAGTGACAGCAAACACAGGCCCTCGCCCTGCTTTTGGGGGTCCCCCTATCTTCAGTCCTCACCTCCACCCACTGATGGATCAGGGCTGGTCACCTCTCCTTCAGACCGAGCCAAGGCCCTGAGGGCTTTTCAGTGTAGACGGACCTCAAGAAGTCTGACCCACGGAAAGGCCCAAACGTGGTCGAGTCAGTTACCCATGTTAATCAAGAGAGTTGCCTGATACACAATTCAAGGTTGCTGCAAATCCACACATCTTTCCCCCATTGCCTGCTTGCAGTGAGCTCTGCATAAATGTTTACTGAATGACGGAATACATTAACACACAAATGAGTATTTTGCAGTGGGTTTTGGTATTTATATTTGCACATCTGTTTGTTGCATGCTCCAAGGATTCCCAGCAGCCCTCACAGAGTAACGAAGGCACGCTACTAACATAGATCCTGGAGACAGGAACACCAGAGTTCGCACGGGCCCCCAGCCTGAAGCCCAGTGTCACAGAGCTGCGAGGCGCCTCTCACCGTCCTGGATCTGGGTGGTTAAACACGTGTCTTGGGTGGCTGTCTCCTCTGGCTTCGGCCAGAACTGCAGACAGTGTGGCCCTCAAGAGGTGCTCACACCCTGGTTCCTGGGACCTGTGACTATGCTGTGTTACGTGTTTGCAGATGTAGTGAAGGTTAGGGACTTTGCAGTAGGAAGATGACCCTGATGTCCGGGCGGGCCCGGTTAAATCTCACGAGCCCTCAAACGCAGAGAGCTCTGGGGTGGGTGGAGTGGAGAGATTCGAATCATGGAAAGGATTCCATGTACGTTCCTGGTTTAAAGAGGGAGGGGCAATGAGACAGGAGTGCAGGTGACCTTAGGAGCTCAGTGGCCCTGAGATGACAACCCTTGAGGAAATGGGGGCTTGGCTCCATAACTGTGAGGACCTGAATCTGATGAGCTTGGACATGGAATCTTCCCAGAGCCTCCAGGATGGGCTGCAGCCCAGCCGACACCTGAATTTGGGGCTGTGAGAGCCACACGTTCTGAACAGGCAGAGGCCCCGACTTATGGCCAGGGAATCTGTGACTGATACGTGGTGTTGATTAGGCTGTCGAGGGGGTAACTCGTCAGGGCAGCTCACTAACACCGACACAGATTAGCGTCACTCTGACCTTGGATGCTCGCCTGCAGCTCGGGGGCCGCAGGTGTACAGGGTCGAGCTGGGTGACCCTCAGTGCCTCCCAGCCCCCAAGTTCTAGGATTCGCTGTCAGAATTAATTGATAGAAATACCAGTATATTTTGAACTAAGGCTTTGGAGTCCATTGGACTGGGTTCAGAGAGCCGCTTTACAGCCAAGGACGGTGCCTCTGCCCTAGGTTTCAGATCCTTTCACCCTGGCCTTGCACGGTTTTAAGGATTAAAAGGGGAAACATGCAGACAAAGGCTGGCTAACGTGTGCTTGGACAAGAGCACACGCCTTCCCCTCCTCCTTCTGACGGTTCTGCCACCCAGAGAAATGCAAGCGAGCATCTCAGCCACTTCCAGGTTTCTGTCCTCCTGGTGGCTGAGGCTTGGCCAGAACTCCAGGGACAAGAGAGTGATAGGGCTTGCCATGGCTGCAGGGAGCCCAGAGCCCACGGGGCTGCCAGAAGCAGCCCGTCTCTTCTTCCCTCTCGGGCCCTGCACCTGCCCGAGGCCCCACGTCCAGCTGGGCTGGGAGCCTGTGTCTCTCCTTCCGGGGAGCTGGGAGTTCAGCTGGCTCAGTCCCACGGCCATGGCTGCCTTCAGCTGGGGGCTGGGCTCTCGTCTTCCGGTGTTGGGTGTAGCTGTAGAACTTTCCAGGCTCTCTGGTGCTTGACTTCTTGATATTTGCCATCTCGAATCTGGAAAGCTGGCTGTTCCCGGGAGAGGCGTTTTTGGGCGGGTTCCTGGGTTTTCTGAGGCTGGAGGTCAGCTTCCTCCATCTTCCTTGCTGATGCCTTCCCACCAGTCAGACGGAGCAGGTGGTCATTCCTTTGGGGTGAGGGGAGCCCGGGCACGTGGATGGAGGCGTGAAGGGTGTCCACCTCGCCACCCCCTCACTGAGCTCACCAATGACTGGTTCCCTGGCTCCTTCTGAAAGCAGCTAGAACCTTCCTCAGGAAACTGACAGATGAAAAAACTGCAGTATTTCCTCACCCGTGGGCAGAGGTGAGTAATGACACCACACCTGACCATCTGGGGAGGCCCATCTCTGGGAAAGGCGGCAAGAAGCACTTCATTTGCATGTAAGTTGGGGAAGTATCTAGCCCTGGCTCAGTCACATCTTGACCCTTATATGTAATCTGTCTCTCCCTTCTCACTGGGATGTCAATGCAGAAAGAGTCCAGAGAACAGCTGAGTCGGAGTGAGACCCCCTCAGACTCAGCCAGATTCTGAGTCAGATTCTGGCTCGGCCCCTCTCAGCTGTGTGACTTTGAGCAAGTTACTTAACCTTTCTGTGCCTCAGTGTCCTCATCCGTAAGGGCTGTTATGAAGATAGAAGGAATTTAACTTTGTAAATATGTAATGCATATTCACAGAACTCTGCTTGGCACAAGGCAAGCGTGTTGTGTAAGGTGAGCTGTTACTGTGGAGTCCTCAGAGGGTCTCTGCGCTGACCAGATGGTGCCGATCCCCCCGCCAGTCCTCTCGATTCCAACCAGTCAGCACGACCCCAAGACGGGGTGGACCCCTGGACTACCCTTCTCACCTGAGGTCCTCCCTCTGACACTTGCCACCAGGCTCAGCCCTCCCTGAGTCTCCCTCTGGAACTGGCAAGTGGTGGAATTCTGCAGACCAGGTGAGGTCACTGCTTTCTTTCTCATGCACCAGGATTGCTATTCCAGATGGATTAACTTAAAAAAAAAAGTTTGTACTTAGTACTCAATTAAAAAAAAAAACTATGTCAAAGCTTTATTGGCTCAAGATCAGCTAAAGAAAAAAGGGGAAAAAGTTTGCCTTTCAACAGAGTGGTCCAAACTGCTGACAATCCCCCGCACCTCCGCCCCCCACCCCTGCCAAGACTTATATATGGCTTTCTTTTCTGAATTCTTTCCTTTGGTGGTTAAGACATGCAAGCATCTTTGAAGTGGGCCAGACATGTTCTTTGCATGTGTGAGCGGTTGTGGTCTCTGCAGGGCTGGTTCAGATAAACCAGTTTCCGTATGGTTTCCAGTCATGGGTGGGGGGTGGCTGTCCCATGGGACCCTGTACACCATTTGATCATGGCGGACAAATAAGAGGATTTTGCAGGTGGATTCTCGCCACCCCACCCCTCCGGGAGCAGTGGTCTTCAGGTCACTGGCCACAGCATTTTGTGCAGGCTATGACCCTGGGTACCACAGGGCTCTGGGATGCAGGCTTAGTATCTGCCCCCTCCCTGTTCCTACACTGCTTCTGTGACACAAGCTGCTTTGTGTCAGTTATTCACACGAGGCAGCAAAGCCCACAGCACAGAGGAGCATGCAGACCCGATGGGACGCCTTTCCCGTTGGCCCCCAGACCCAATATCAGCATCCACCCTGGGGATTCCATTCGACCGTGGTTATGGGCCAGTTCCAAGTGCGTCTGAACAGGGCCCCTTCTGGTCTCTGCTGCCCCTCTCAGAGCAAAAGCTGTGATGCCATAGGTACATGTTGATTATACGTGATGAGACATGAAGTGGGTGTAGCCAGCACACAGGAGGCACTTGGGACACTTTATTGTTACCACGATCATTATGACACGCGGCTTTCAACCGGGGTTTCAGAGAAAACCAGCCTCCACGATTGCACCCGTGATTCTCTGCGGCAGTCCCGTCCCACATCGTTACTTCCCCAGAGTCAGCATTCCACTCTCCCACCTTACAAAAAACATCCTGCATCCTCATGGCTGCTATGACGTGGCTACTCTCCTTCCTACTGAGTCAGTGCCCGAGAGGTTTGCTCTGACTTTTCCTCAGTTTCCTTCAAGCTTTGACTCTCCACTGCCAGGCTCCGCCACCAACAGCCCCTGGAACCAGGGCTTCCTCCCACAGCCGTGCTCGGGGCCTCAGCACTTCGCCCCCGTGTCTGCTCTGGACCATGTGACTCCGTGGCCCTGTGCCGTCCACTTCGCTGTCCAGAAGGATAGCCTCCTGGGCAGAGGGTCACTGAACACTTGAAATGTGGCAGTGCACCAAGCAACTGGATTGTTCGTTTAATTTTAATTGTTTCACATTTAAATTCGAATGCAGTTATTGAAAAACTTTCAGTATGACCACAACTTGGACCTATGAACCTAGTTTCTCTACTGCAAATGTTATGAAATCTAAACACAGAGCAAGCACTTCTGATGAAAATTTAGCATCCATATGGAGACATGATAAAAGTAAAATATACACCAGTTTTCTGAGATCTGATTTGAAAAAAGGGCGTAAAAGTCTCTCAATACTTTTTATATTGATTACATTGAAATCACAATATTTTGGCTATAGGGGTTAAACACAATTTATTATTAAAATTGATTCCACCTGTTTTGATTTTCTTTTTAAAGTGGCTACTAATTAGAACCTTTGTGGCTGGCATTTTATTTCGGTCTGGATGGCACTGCTGTGGACCGTTTGCTCCTGGAAGTTCTCTCCCGCCTCGGCTTCCGAGCCCGGGCCTCCGCTTGTCCCCTCTAACATCATTCCATGTGCAGGTGGCCTCTGCAGCCTCTCCTCCACGTCAGGGCTTCCCTGAGTCTGCCTCTGTCCTGTTCTCTCATCACATGATCTGTTTCTTCTTCCCCTCTGCTCGGATGGGTACAGCCCCTCCCGTTCACTGAGCCTCTGCCCGAAGAGCCCCTCCCTCCGCCCACCTCTCTGATACCCAGACCTGCCCTTCGACAGAGTCCTTACTGCTGCAGCAGGATGTAGGGTCTCTCTCTGGGCCCCGCTGAACCACATGGAGACCACCGTTTTGTTACCCTTGTAACCTGTCACCGTGACTTACCAGCCTGGCCCCAAATGACCTCATGTTAGGATTAATGCCCCAATTGTGGCCAGATTGCAGTGGCTCTTATCTGGAAACTCAGCTGTGCCTCAAGTCCTCCTTCATCTTCCTGGGGGGGGGTGGTCTCCGATGAATGGGCTCAGGTCTGCCCACGTTCTCCTCCTTGCCCTGTGGGGTGACTCACCTGACCCCCTCCAGTCAGAAGCCACCAAGGAGAGGGTATCTGGGGGAGAGATGGGAGCAATAAGGGAGGCATGGTCTGCAGCTAATTTTCAAACAAGATAGAGCTGACCAGACATCAGTCTGCTTTTTATTATCACTTGCCCGGGCAGTTTCAAACAATGGCAGAAACAGAATGCCCCTTCTTGCCAGGGTGAACCTTGTCCACTGCAGTCCCTCCCCCACTCCAAACATTTCTCAAGCAACTCATTCCACCGTCTTACCATTTCTGGTTTGATTCTCTTCATCATCTAGTAGACCATTTTTGTTTTTAGGCTAGTGGCAGGATGTTATAAATATATATATGTTTTTGTTTTTTTTAGGGCCTACCACAGATTCCACAATAGAGGAAGTGTTAGAAATTTATTGAATTAATAAATCAATGGATTTCTTCAATGTACCAGAATATCCTTTGGCAGGAAATCCTTGGTCAAAAAAGCATGTGGTAAGGAGACAAATTCAAAGTAAGGATTTATTGAAAACAAACTTGAGGCATAGTCTAAGGTTGCTGGAGATCTGGCCCACAATGGACACCTAGCATCTGTCTGTATGGCATTGAAAAAATATTGCCTACAAATGTGAATCTGAGGCCCTCAAGATATTGAATCAACAATGAAAAGATTAATTTATTGTTATTTGTTACATAGCTTGTGCAAGGCCTGTGCTATAAAGCAGAAACATGGACCAATATATTTTATTGAAACTTTAAACGATGACAGTAAAATTGTTCTGGTGCATGGTGAACTTATAAGAAAGCTCAGTCGACCAGACATGGAATTTTGCAGGCGCTTCCTGGGATAATGTGACGCATTCTCTTCATGACTCACAGTGAAGCTTTAGTTCCATCCATCACGACAGCCTGGACACTTCAATCAACCAGTGGAAGTAATCACGCCACCCTCTCAGGGGATATGTTGATTTCTGGGTCCATTTGTCATTCCTAACAGATCAGAAAGTTTTCACCCATCTGGACAGGCTTTATTCATCAGTGTGTGTGTCACATGCGTGCATACAAGAAAGACCTGCCAGGTTTCATTAACCAGAGCCTCTAAGGAGCACATGGGATGTCTTTTCCCTTTAGGAGAAGCCCTGGAGTGCGTCGCCTTTGATCTGGGCTGAGACAGCTGTGGTTAGCACAGGGCAGGGCGGACCGCGGTTCTGACGCCGTGGAGGAGCTTGTGGAGGCTGGACCTGTCAGATGTGACTTTAGTCTCATAACTTTGGAACAGTAAATGGCCCTTTGCTTTGGAAGCCAGTCCACAGTTTGCTGGATCCACGACAAGATCTGAATTTCAGTTTGTGGATATTGTTAAGTGTGTTTGGGGGCAAGATTTGCTGACTGGGCAAGAAGTAAGGATTATTTTATTCACGGACACGCGTCTCTAAAAATTTCACAGTCGGTGTGAAGCAGGACATGGTAGTGTTCACGGAGCCTTTGGGAACAGGCTTGGTGCCAGCTTGGACCTTCACCCCAGCATCAGCCCTCCTACCATCAGGGTGTCCTTTTAGGCTCTGTCTTCGGGTACAAACTGCAGACAAACTAGGTCCCCCGGGGAGATGGGGGAACACACGTGTGTTTCACCAAGGCGAGGATGGGGAAGTGGTGGCTGTTGGTGGCGGAGGCGGGCCCAGCGCAGCAAGCGCAGAGCCCTCACCTGCGGGCCCCCCTATCGGGGGGCAGCTCCGGTTCCCATGCATCCCTCCTTGTCAGTGTCACCCATGTGATCAGGGCTGCAAAGGCCGTGATGCTGTTCATGCCATCTCGCGAAAGTCCGGCCCATTTCCCTTCCTGGGGACCCGCCCTGCCCTGCTGACTTCTGGCGGAGCACCAGCCCCAGAGGTGGCTCCCCCAGTTCTAACGACGGAGGACGGCCCCTCCCGGGAATAAACCTGAATCCCACATCCTCCGCGTGGTCTGCGGTTCCCGTGCACCCGATGAAACGCACGTGAGCTGATTCTGAGAACAGAGGGACTTCGAGGAGGAAGGCAGCCGCTCCCTCTGCCCAGAGATGGCTGGACCTGCGGCGAGAGTGCGCTCTGGGGGCGGGAACAGTGAGAAATTAGGGGCTGGGATGGCCGGGACCTTGGCCTGCGGTAACTGGAAGCCTGTGGGGGCGTCTGGAGAGTTTTGGAAACTTACTGTGAGTGTGGTGTTCCTGGGGTCGCTCCTGATGGGAGATCAGGTTGAAGAGCAGCGATGAACCGGGCGGGAGGCCCTAGACCCACCTACCACTAAAACAGTTTGATGTTTGACCACTTGATTAATCCCCCTATCTCGCAGTGAGCGATATACTCGCAGTGACTGAGGAAAGCGATTCTGATGTTACTGGGTATTTGGATAGCTAAACAACGTGATTTTTGCGACTTTTGTTTAAATGCCATGCGATCCACAAAGTGTTACACAAATGTTATTTTTAGTGATGTGTCCCTTAAAATAGTAAAGCATGGGTTTACACCTACCAGTCTCTAACAGTGCTGTGGAGGGTAAAGAGATGGGTGCTTGAAAGTCAACCCGGTCTCAAAGCAGCTCACGAAAGCCCTGGCTGGTGATTAGCCGTCAGGGACCCTGGGATGCCTGCCTCTGTCCCCGTCCCAGCCAGGTGTCAGGGCTGCTGCAGCTGTGCCAAGTCCTGGCTGCACGTGGGGATCACAGGAGCCTAAAAAATTACCTATGGCTCATCCCACCCCCAAGGGCTTGTGATCTAAACGGTGTGGATAGTGGCCTGGGCAGAGAGATTTAGAAAAAATCTCTTATATGTGGCCATGAAGAAAACCACTGCTCTGACCATGTATGAGAAACTGGGAAAGGCCGGAATTCGGAGGCGCCGTCAGTGCTGTGATCTGCAGTGTTCTCAGATGTGTCCCATTTCCCCAGTAGAAATCTTGCTCCTTTGCTCGTTTATTCACTCAGCAAACACAATCTGGGAACCTGATAAGTGTCAGGAATTGGGGGGACGATGGAGAAGGCACAAGTGGCTCTCACAGGGTTTAGAGCTCTCAGGAAAGCTGGGCTGGGAACAGATAATTCAAACTCCTTGATTATATTTCAGCTCAGGGGAAGTGTGCCCACCCTCCTGAGTCTGTCCCCAGCAGGTGTCCTCCTGCCCGGTGATGTTCAAACCAGCAGAACCATGCCGAGTGGGTTAGAGAGCCAAGGAAGCTTTATTCTCGGATCAGAGGATGGGAAGGGGGAGCTCGAACAGGCCTGGCGGGGCAGCTTTGTCCAGACTGGGCAGCGGGGGGGCGGGGCTGTGGGCGGGGCAGCCCAGATCCAGGTGCCGGGCGCAGAGTCTCTGCACACAGCCCCCCTCCGCCATCTTGAGCTGGGGCTCGTGGGCGGGGCTTCTGCACACGGCTCCCCCCGAGGAGTGCACGTGCGCGGGCGCCCCGCGAGGGGAACCCTGGTCTGAGGCACCGGGTGCGAGGCCGCTGGACGCGGCGCCCTGGGAGCGACGGGAGCTGGACTCGGCACAGAGGAGGAAAGGTCAGACTTTATGGCCCAGGTTCTGTTTCTGTGTCCCGGGAGCTGCTCACCGGCGCCCTCCGCACCCGTATGTCGGGGTGGAAGGCTAGTGAGAAGTTGTGGTCCTCCCCTGACAGGAAACGCGGTCGAGGGGTGT